CCCAGCCTCCTCTTTCCCTGCAGGCGGTGAAGGTCCTGAGGACAGCTGAGTTTGTCCCTTATGTGGTATTCATTGAGGCCCCTGACTTTGAGACCCTGCGAGCCATGAACCGGGCTGCGCTTGAGAGCGGAGTGTCCACTAAACAGCTGACGGTAAGGGGATCTGAGTAGCGGTGGGAGGGTTTGCTAGTTGCCTGGGGTAGTGGAGCCCAGAGAGGTAGGACTTTGGGTCAATGATTTGTGCATGTGAAGAGAGGAAGGTTTGAGAGAGGAATGCAGTGCCCCAGACAGAGCCAGGGACACAGAGCTTTGACTCGAGGCCTACTATGTGTCACACTCTTCAGAAGCCTAGTAGAAGATCTGTGGGACAGAGATGGCCAATGGAAGCTTCTGGAGGAAACTTGAACGTTGTTGCTACAGTATTTCCTCAGGAATAGCATTTGCTGAGCTGTGAGCTGAATGCTCCCTGCCTGCCCCATGCCTGCTACAACAGCTCCTCTGTTCCACAGAGACGGTCTGGGTTGGGCTTGCATCCTCTGATGACCTGATGCCAGCTCTGGGCACCATGGCCCTGGCAACAAATGCAGCCGGAGCGTTTGGGACATGGCTGCCCTCAGCTCCGTATGTCAGTTGTCCACTTCCTTCCCCTGTTCCCAGCTAGCTTCTTTTAGGTCTGGGGTGGAATTAGCTTGTTTGTTTGTGGCATTGTCCTGGTCCCGGTAAGTTCTCATAGCTATAGTAAAGGGGCTTGGCCAGACTAAAGGGTACACTGGCCAGAGTCAAGCAGATCCCTGAGCCATCGCCTCACTGTGACCTCTTTGTATCTGAGCTTTGTGTTATTAATGGGAGAAAATTGGTCCTCCCTTGTGGAGCTGTAATGAAGAGCCTTAATGGGTAGCTTAATGGTTAGTGCTATGTGTGTCCTTCCTTCTTTCCTTCCTTCTTTCTTTCCTTCCTCCCCCCCTTCCTTCTTCTCTCTCTCCCTTCCTTCTTTCCTATCCCTCTCCCTCCCTCCTTCCCTCTCTCCTTCCTTCATCCCTCCCTCCCTTCCTTCCTTCTTTCCTTCCTTCCCATCCTTCAATGCATCCATCATCCATCCTGGCTAGGTGCAGGAGCACAGCCTTGTGGGGGGGGCACAGGGAATCTCTACCACTGTGGCTGGGCTGTGGGGTGAGGTATGCAGGTTGTAGATCTCTCTAGTGATGGAATTGAGCTGGAGGCACTCACTGAAGCCCCTTGTGTGGGACAGGAGGCAGATCTGAGGCGGACAGTGGAGGAGAGCAGCCGAATCCAGAGGGGATATGGGCACTACTTCGACCTCAGCCTGGTCAACAGCAACCTCGAGAGGACCTTTCGTGAGCTTCAGGCTGCCATGGAAAAGCTTCGAACAGAGCCCCAGTGGGTGCCCGTCAGCTGGGTGTACTGAGCCTTGTTCCCTGCCTGCTCGGGAATCCATCCTTCACCCCACCTGTGGCATTCCCCTACCCTGATAATGATCTTCACCCCCATCTCTGCTTTTCCCTGGATCACAGTTCCCAGCAGGCTTCAGTACAGAGGTGTGTACTACCAGGGAGGTGGGTGTTCATAGGGTACCTCTATACCCAGGTGCTGCCCACTCCCAATGTCCACTGGCCACCAGACATCCCTCTGTATGGACCATGCTGTGTCCAGGAGCATCTCGGAGTCACTCCTGTAATGCTCAGGCCAGGGAAGAGCAGAGCTGCTGGGCCCTTGTTGTCAGTAGGTCTAGGACCCTGTCAGCCTTCACTCCTCTGGGCTGGCCACACCCACCCTGTCCCCTGGCTCCTCCCATCCCTTACTATAATCCTTGGGACAGCCCTGGGCTGTTCTCAAGTGGCCAGGTACTAAGGCCACTGGTAGCTAGACAGACCTGAGCAGTGGAACCATTTTAGATGCTGGGGGAGCCCCATCTGGTGACAGATCTCAGCTCCTCGAGGAGCAAACATAGCCTGGTCCCTCCCTCATTTCTAGCTTCTCACTGCCAAAGTCTCTCCACAGACTTTCTTAATGTGCCCCTCTTTTATAAGCCCTGCTCCGCGAACAGTGAGTGCAAGAGCAGTGGCAGCAGGCTTAGCCCCAGGTTGGGAATAGGGTCTAGAGCACTGAACTCTCCATTGCTGGAACCCAAAGTACTCCAGGCTTCCCAGCCCACGCCAGGCTTTGTTTGCTTCGGGCTTTTCTCTCCCTAGATCTAGGTGGCCCCCTAGCGTTAGGGCTGCCGTGATTGGGCCTAAGGAGGGGTGAGGAGACTGTGAGACCTGGCTTGGAAACAGATTAGCTTTAGCAGCACTTGCCACTCAACTCCAGGGATGCCACTGGCTCACAGTCTGTGCTTCTGACTGCCGTGGTGCTGGTCCCTGTTTCTGGCCTTGGTGTGTGTGTGTTGTTCGTGCACATGCATAGGTTTGGTTGGTCTGAGGGGAGGCAGAGGATTGCTGTCTCTTGGAGGAGGCTCTTCGAGGTCCCTTTTATGGGTTCCCCTCAGCCCCCCCCCCCATTTCTTAAAAGCCCCTATCCCAGACCCAGAACCTTCCTCTACTGTCCCATTGTCCTCTATCCTTTAGTCCTTGGGTAGGGTGATTTTGTAAAATAGGATAACCCTTTTAAGAACTCTGTCCTTGGCATCTGGAGACATCTCATCCCTACTCCTTCTTGAGGGGCCCCTGTCCTCTTGGGGACCCCTGGCACCCTCTCCCTGTGCCTCCCAGTTCTCCTGAGTGTCCGTTTTTGCTGCAGTGTCAGCCCATGCTGGCTCTGAACCACTGTGTGCCCATTTCCTAGGGGAGGGAGGGAGAAGAAACAGAATATTTATTATAAATGCTAGAAATATATTTATTATATTAGAACCCTCATTTGCACTGGCATGGGATGTGCAAATGGAACTGGTGGTGGGCCTGGCCGCTGCTCATTTGCATAGCCCTGCACACACCCTGTGCGGTCCTCTTCCCTTCAGTCACTGTCCTTTGCTTCAGTTCAGCATCTTGCTGTGACCCTGACCCTTACTTAGCCTACGGCGACTGGTAGCGGGAGAGAAATAGTATGTTTCCCTGCTTACTTTCTTCCTCCCCTGCCCCCGAGGATGAGTGTAGGATCAGAGCTGTCCCTGATCCCCCTTGATTAACCCACAAAGTCCTGTGACCAAAAGACCATAGCCTAACAGAGATGTAGTGGGCACCACGCTGGAGAGTTGGTACCAGTCTTTCTCTCTGGATACCCAGTGAAGTAGCAATCCTCACATCTTTCCTAGTAACGTGCAAGGGGCAGGGCTGGGCCCCTCCTCTCTGAACAGCCTCCTACCTCTCCCACTGAGCCTGGCTCTATACCCCTTCCAAGTGCTGGTCAGATGGGAATAGAGGCCCTGAGCCTTCTCAGCTCACCTGGCACAGGGCTGAGTTAGAGCATGTTGGTACCCACCAAGCTGGGTTTGTGACTCTGCCCTCTCTCCCTCATCCCTCCTTCCCTCCATCCCGCCCTCTCTCCCTGAACCTCAGGAGAAGGAGGACCCTGCCCCCACGGTCCACACTCAGTCCCATTGCCCTTCCTTTGGTTCCCTCTGCCAGCCATCTTAATTCTCAAGTTTTCTTTCTTTTCCTTTGATTAAATGTGAAAGCAGATGTTTCTGGGCTCTGTTGGTCTTTGATTGGGGGGGTCTGACTAGACAGTTTTGGGAGAAGGTGAAGGTTAGGGAATACAGCACAGATACTTGAATTTAAAAAAAGAAAAGAAAAAAAGGAAACCAAAATAACATGACTTTCTAGGTGTAGTGGAGGAGAAGGTTTATTGTAGACATGTGGGAAAGCAGCATAGGTAGCCTGAGGCAGGGACAGGAGACACCAGGGACAGTCTGAATGGACATGATCAGATTGAGCTGTGCCATGGGGAGGTGGGGAGGCAAGAGAGAGAACCAGGTGTAGCAGCCAGGAAGCCCAAAATACAAAGAGATCAGGTAACTAAGATGGCTGGATTATATAGGGAAAAGCAGCTCAGCCTCCTGGGTTGGAGAGTTCAGGGTAGGGGGCTGGGTGTGCCAGCCAGAAGGGCCCTGTAACAACTGGTAGAGACTGAGGGAGACAGGGAGAACCTGGGGACCAGTGTCTGCCTTGATACGTTAAATGGGTACCATAGCCATTTGTCATGGGTTTGAAACCTAACAATAATTCTCCAATGGAAGATGGAGTGACCATGGCATCTTCCTCCCCCATCTTGCCTCTCTGTGCTATATCTAAGTGCTTATGCCTGGGAACTGGTGAACATCAGGGGTACAAAGGACTCAGGGTTTCCTTGGCCAAGCTACATGACTCCACGAGGGACTTGTGCAGCCTTTAGCAGATGCCCCTGCCTCCCTAGACCTTGGCTTCATCCTCTGTAAAAGTGCCACGGTCTCTCAGTGATAAAGCTCATGGGTTCTAGGTGCTCACCTGAGAGTAGATGACACAGAAGTTTACTCTTTAGGTTCCTACAACAACAACCACAGCAGCAGCAGCAGCAACAGCATCACATGCCCCAGATGATGCCACCACAGAGGTATGTGTGGTCTAGAGGCTCAACATCCTTTCCACCTGGAGTCTCTTAGGAAGGAATCGTGGTACACCACCCCACCATTACCACTGCAGATTCTCTGAGGCTGTGTGCAATGATTTTGAGATGCTCTGTCACTGAATCTAGAGGTTGATGTTTTGGCTAACATGTTCCTGGATTTCAGCATCTTCCTTCCACTCCAGCACTGGGGTACAGACTCGCAATGATCCTTTTACAAGGGACCTGAACTCTTGCTTGCACAGCAAATGCTTTACCTACCAAGTTGTCCCTCCAGGAGAGGTTAGAAGAGGAGAGAGGGGAAGCGGGAGAAGCAAAGGGCCTGGAGAACAGGGACGAGTAGGAAAAGGAAGGATAGAAAGAAAACACTCTTTTCCTCAGGATCACATGTTCCCACACATGCAAATCCGGTTGGCTAAACAGAAGCACACCCATATGCTGAAATACTGCACAGCTGAGAAACAGTTTATTGTAAGAGGTTGGTAGGACACGGAAGGAATGCTTCCAGTGGGATAACGAGGGAAGGGCATCGTGCAGTGAAATGAGCAACCACAAAATACATGAAGGGGAAAGGAGAGAGATCCAGCCGAGTGTGGCCAGGGTGTCAACAGGGCTTGGTAAGATTATAGGTGACCTTAAAACATTGGCTATGTTTTATATGCTGGGTCATTTTTCAGAACAAAACAGAGAAATGGGGGGAAAATGGTTGAGCCAGTCTATCTTTCCCTTATCCAGCTGGCCTGGATTTAGCATTACCCTCTAGTACTGTAGTCTAGTTTCTTCCTCATACCCCTCCCCACACTGGTTTCCTCCTCCCCTAGCCTCCAGAGCCCATGGAGTAGTAACCCTTCTGAACAGGGACAATAAAGAACCTTCCTCCAATGTTCTTCCAGTGCCCGATACAGGGCCGTGAGGATGGAGAATGGAAAGGCAACCAATGCCTGGGCCAGCAGCCTCCATCACCTCCACTGTGTACCTGATCAGGGAGGCATCAGGAAGCCCCTGCTGTGGCCATGGTGCCATGGGCAGAGCTCTAGAGAGCATGTAGGAGACCCCACTGTGAGAGAGAAGGAAGGCTCTCCAAGCAAGAGGGAGCTGAGGATCCATTGGGTCCAAGTGTAGGGATACTGGGTCAGAGCTGTGAAGTTCAGGGCCTTGCCCCAGAGAAAGTTTGGTGTGGGGCTTGGGAATTCTGTTTTAATATTTTTCTGAAGGGCCAGGATGCAGGTGTTTTATGTTGTCTCCTCCACAGCACCTGGCGCAGGAGAATTGGAGGGAGGAGAAGGTGGGATCTGCGGGGGATGGGAGGCAGGACCATTTTTGGGCACCCATGCCTAGGGAATTTCCTGAAGCCCATGCAAACTTAGCTGTCATCTTCTGAGCCTTGCCAGGCCCTGGTGAAGGTCCACAGCTCCACACTCTTCCTAGGGATTAGAACACACTGGAGGAAGTCCTGGCCTCAGGCTGGAATTGTTAAATACCACCCTGGGCTCCAGGGCCCACAGACACTTCTTTGACATTCTGGAACACACAAGAAGGGGGCCTGGAGGAAGGGACAGAGCCCTGGAGTATGAGGTGTGAGCAGAGCCCCGGAATTCATACAAACTCAGCCATTCAGCTTTACAATGCCTGACCACAGGACATTCTGCCGTCAAACAGAAATGAATTCCGAGAAGGCCAGCTCCTCTGCAGATATCTGCAGGGGAGGGGCTGCCGTCCTGTCCTCCTCAGCGTCCAGGGGAGGGGCTGCCTCTTCCTCTGTAGTCTGAAGAGATGATGGTGAGGTTGAAAAGCAGAACCTGGTGCTGGTGAGCTCTCCACCCTAGCAGAGCCCCCACCCCCCACCCCATCTCATCTCCTGTCTGTTGTGTGTGCTTTTGTGAGACAGGGTCTCACCAAGTAGGCTGTGCTATGGTAAAGCATGAGCGGATTCCATGGCAGGTGAGGGTGACCGAGGCAAAGGGACAAACATGCCAGGCAGACGGCTTTAGTGAGAAGTTTCATTAGAAAGGGAAAGGGGAGAAGAAAAGAGAAAAGAGGTAAAGAGAGACAGATAGGACAGAAGAGGGAGACAGAAGAGTCCTGTCGGCCCCAGGGGAAAACTGGGCAGGGTCTTTCTTTTAAAGGGGTCCTTTACACCTGCGTGCTGACCAGGGTACTGCCTGAGTGCTTTCTGCCAGGTGACAGGGGCAGGCCAACATAATGCCTGAATCCGTACAGGCTGGCTTCTAATCCCCCAGCTCCTCGCTCTGACCACAGGACTCACAAATGTTAGGATCACAAGCAGGCACCACAACGCTCAGCTCAGATGAGAGCTCTTTAAACAGACGAACCGACGCCCAATATGCTATTAAAGGATTTTCTGAGCGGAGCAGTGGTGGTGCACGCCTCTAATCCCAGCACTTGGGAGGTAGAGGTAGGAAGATCTCAGTGAGTTCAAGGCCAGCTTGGTCTACAAGCAAGTTCCAGTACAGCCAGGACTTGAAAAACAAACAAAATCAAAAAAAAAAAAAAAAAAAAAAAAAAAAAAAAGCCAACAAATAAATAAAAATAAAAAAAAAAAAAAAAAAAAAAAAGAAGAAAAGAAAAGAAACAGGGAAGAGGAGAATGTGAAGTTTGGACTTGGGTGAAATGACCTAGGCTTATTACGGCTTTGATAGGCTACTTGGACAGATGTGGGGGTGCAGCTTCTTCCAAAGAAGATGCTGGGAAAGAGGTCCCCTCTCCTACGGCCCCATTATCTCAGTGGTGTTAGATAGCATGGGATCCAGAGCTGTCATACCTGACTGAGGTGCTGGGTCTCTGTGGAGGGCACAGTAGAGGGCTCAGGGTTACCGAGATACTCGGGAGGCGCCGCAAGGTTGATCATGGCATCTTCAGGCACCCAGGTGTTCCCTGGTGGCTGTAAGAGAGACGTGCTCAGAACTCAGAATAGCCTATTCTTAGCAGCATAGGCAGCCTGGAGTTAAGCCCAGAGGAGCAAGAGAGGAAGGACACCGTTCTGGAGCCATATGACTTCCTACACTTGGGTGTTTTCTTGGCAAGCTAGATGCTCTCAGGAGCTCAGTTTCCACAGCTATAGTGAGAATATGTGTTTTTTTTTTTTTCCCCCTCGGGGTCATAAAATCCAGATAAAGACAGGGCCTTGCTATGTAACCCTGAATGACTTGGAACTTGCTATGTATACTGGGCTGGCCTTGAACTCACAGAGATCCCTGGGCCTCCCGGATACTGGGAATAAAGGCATGTGTCACCATGCCTGGCTTTGTTTTCTGAGGCAGGGTCTCATGCTTTCTAGGCTGACTTTGACTTCTTTATGTAGCTAAGGATGATTTTGAACTTCCTTCTGACCCTCATGTCGCTACCTTGTGGAGGGCTGGCATCACAGGTGTGCACCATCATACCCAGTTTATGCTGGCTTGCTTCACCCACGCTAAGCAAGCACTCTACCAAGTGAGCTGCATTCAGTCTCCAGACAGCCTCTTATTGCCCGGTGAACAGGAACTTCTGGAATGGTTTGTTAATAATGTTATTTCTTTGTTTGTAACCAGAGAGGACAAGCAGGCTGTCTGTTCTTTTTCACGGGCCTTAAAGATTCACGCTTAGGGATGGAAGATGGTTCTTTCTCTGGAGTCTGAGGGACCAGCCTTGGGCAGTACATATGTCTGGATTCCTATCCAACCCTTGCACTTCAATGTGGAAGGATGTAAGACACAGGGCTCTGCAGCCAGCCTCGGAGAGTTTTGTCTAGTTCTGTTTTTCTCAGGCTACGTTACTGTGGGCATTCAATTACTCTCTTTGGGTCTCTGTTGCCATGTCTACAAAGTGGAGGACATAATACTGCCTGCCTCAATAGAAATGGCAAGGGGTGAAGCCCCACAGCCTGCTCTCATGGCTGCCTGCCATGTACACGCCAGCCTTGCCTTGAACAGCGTCCTCCCTCAGCCTCCTGAGTGCTGGGTGTCAGGGGTGTGGGCCACCGTCATGTCCAGCTCCTTTGGCTCTCACAGGACAAGTGTCCATCCTCTTCCTCCTTTGATGTGAATGTGTGCAAAGAAACCCCCCCCCCCCAGCCTCTGGTGAAGACTGCAAAAGTCAACGGGAAGCATTACCAAGAAAAGCACGTGTCTTCTTCGGCGTCCTGTGCTCTTTCTGGTGGCTCTGACCTCTGACCTTCGAGGTCCCCTCTTCTATCCTTCCTCCTAAAGTGGCTGCTGCTCAGTGTCTTGCTCAAACTGCCCCGGCTCGCTCCTTGTCCCTTCCTACCTCTGCAGGGGGAGCTCGGGCACCCTAGGTTGGAAGCCCAGGTTGTCCTTCCCAGGGTGTAAGGACAGAGGCAGCAGTGAGGAGCCATGCTGCCTGAAGGCCGAGCTCTGAGGGTGGCTATGGTGGCAGTCCCTCCCCATGACTTTTCCCTCACTCCCCTTAGCCACTTTTGGCCGTGTTCCACTTCCTGAGACAACAACAGCTGCTTCCTAACTCAAGAAGATCCCATTCTCACTCAGCCCTCCCCCGGGAATCTGCCTGGAGTCTTTTGTCTTTATTGGCGCCAGGAAAGAAGGGGATAATGGTCCCCCTTTCCTGGCCCCATGTTTGGGGGAGTAAGAGTGGAAGTGTAAGTAATTGGGATTTTGGGGCCATGGGCTCCCTGGGTGCATTGTTCACAACCCGGTCCTTGAACAATCAAACCTCAAGCGGAATCACTGGAGGACCAGAAACAATGTGCTGAGAGATAAAGAACTGATAAATCTGGGGCTGGAGAGATGGGTCAATGGTCAAGAGGGTGGCTGTTCTTGTAGGGAACCTGGATTTGGTTCCCAGCACCCACATGGTTGGTGGCTCACAATTGTCTGTAACTCCTGTTCCAGGGGATCCAATGACCTCTTCTGGCCTCCATGGGCACAGACACACATGCAGGCAAAACACTCATATACGTAAAATAAAATAAATAAACCTCTTAAAAGAATCGAGAAGTCGTAGCGCTGCTGTGTGACTTTGGGCCAGATCCTCCTACTCTCTGGGCCACCGTTTCATTTGTAGAAGCACACTGCAGTCATGTTTGAGGGGTCCTTGCACTCTGGTGTGTAGTGGGGTCCCCAGCCCCAGCCCTAGAAGGTTGGGCTGGAAGCTGAGCCTGGGAGATCCCATCTCCAGTGCTGCTGACAGATGAGATGGGCTCAGAGTTTAGATAAACACTGGACCCGGGTTCCATGTGGATCCTTCTAGCTCCAATACTGAGGTCTCGTGATTCTAGGCAGTGTGGGAGGAGGGTACCCGCCTGGTGGAATGATGCCCACCTGGTTCTTTGAGACCCTACCTGATACCAGTTGTGAATCAGGGCTGATGATGCTTGTGCCTTGAGCATACACCATAAAGGGTCTGTCTGGAGACTCCCACAGACCCCTCAAGGCTGGGAGCAAGCTCTGCCTCTGGGTGGGAGACAGATGGTCTCTGAAGTCTGACCTCAGTTTCAGATGGGGTGATCTCAGACTTTGACTCCCTGGGTCCTTACCGAGGCTGCGAGGTGGACCTTCTCGTTCCGCTGTGTCTCCGTGGCCAGCCAAGCTGAAAGAGACCCAGGAGAACCTTGAGGCCATAAAGAACTTGAGCCATTCCCAGAATGCACAGGCTCATTGTATCTGTGTATAAGGGATTCCCAGAGGGAGCTGGCAGGCCCTGAAGCAGGAAGCTTGGTCTAGCCCAGCCTTTTAGGAAGGTGCTGGCATTTGAGATTTCTATGTGAACTAGAAAGTGGATGAGGAAACTGTGTTCACTTTTTGAACCTTAATATGTGTAGGGGACATCTACGCTTGGATCTTAAGACCCTGTCTTCTTTTCACTTCCTAGCCATGAGTGAGCATTTTTGTCCTCACCACGAATAGCTAGTCGACACGAACTGATAAATCTTCTCTGTGCTCAAGACGACTACCCCAGATATCCTGAGGGTTAGTTTTCTTAACGCACAGGTTCTGAATCAGACCGTGGGATTGAGCTCCGAGACTCTGCATTTCTCACAGGCTACCAGAGGGGCACTACTGTTTGTTAGGGAGCCACAATTCCAGAGGTAGGATGCCAAGTGGCTTCATAGCTGTTCCCATCCTGTGTGCTCCCTTCTGGCCTCCTATGAGGGGACCTGGAGAGACAAATAAGCTAAGATTTCTTCCTGGGAGTCACAGAGACAAGGTAGGAAGCCGGCCCAGGGTGGCCCCAGGCCCACCTTCTCTGGGACATCACTGTAGGTGTCTTCCTGGCTTTACTATTTCCTAGGCCTGCAAGCGCAAGGCAGTTTCCTCCACTATAAGATGGGGTACCCCCCCCAGCACAGGAGGTAAATGGAGAGGAGATGCAGGACCTTGCTTGGCTTCTCTGGGCATCCCTGGCTCTGTAGACCAGGCTAGCCTTGAACTCAGATCCTCCTGTCTCTGCCTCCCAAGTGCTGGGATTAAAGGGGCACACCAGTACAGACAGCAAACAGTAAGGTTGTCAGATAGACCCACTGAGGCCTGCAGGTCTTCCAAGGTTGATGAAGTATGTCAGGTATGCATGGGCCTCCCCCCCTCCCCAATCACTTCACTTACCTTTCTTTCTCCACAGGAGCGGGAGCATGTAGCTGCCAAAGGCAATCAGACCAGCAGCCAGCAGAAGAGACAAGAGCACCCAGACTGGGGCCATCATGCGGACCACTGGGATGGACACACTAGAGGAGAGATGAAGGGAGCCTGGTGGCTGTTACCCAATCAGCCAGCTATGTCCTTGAATCCTATGCATAAGCAGAGAAAGTCAGCTTCTAGCCTGATGGCTAATTCAACCAGGCTAAGACTGGCAGGGTCCTCAGACCTAGAATCCAGGCTTGCTAGATTTGAACCCTGGTCTTGACACTTTAGAGACATGTCACTTTGACTTAACAACCTTCTAGATCTCCAATTTCACCTCCCATAAAGCAGGGCTGTGGGGATCAAACAAGGTGGGATGTTTAAGATACTGAGCTTAGCAGCTGGAGTGATGGCTCAGAGGTTAAGGGCACTGGTTTTTCTTCCAGAGGTTCTGAGTTCAATCCCCAGCATCTACATGGCAGCTTACAATTGTCTGTAACTATAGCTCCTCATACCCTTACACAGGCATACACATGCAAGCAAAAACACCAATACACATAAAAAATGGATCAACATTATAAAAAAAACTAAAAACAAAACAAAACAAACAAACAGAAAAACCAGATACTGAGTTCAAAACCAGGTGAGGTGATTCAAGATTTCAATCCTTGCACATGGAAAGTGACGGCAGGAAGATCAGGAGAGACTTTATCTCAAATAAAATACTCCTTTCACTAAGAATAAATCTTAGCATAGTACCTAGCTACATTTGCTGCTAAACTACACAAGTCACTAAGCAGGAATGATCCCATGTTATGCTGGAAAAACTGGGGTGCTAGGACCTCATTCATGCTAAGCAGTCACTCCACTACTGAGCTTTATGTCCTATACTCCTTACTTCAGAAATTATTTGTTGTTATTAGTGTTAGTATTGAGCATATGATTTGGGGAGAGAGAGTGAGCCGTCGTGCGTACACTGAGGTTAGAGAACAGCTTTGTGGAGTCTGTTCTCTCTCTCTCTCTCTCTCTCTCTCTCTCTCTCTCTCTCTCTCTCTCTCTCTCTCTCTCTCTCTCTCTCTCTCTCCTCTTCTGTGTGTTCTGGGAGCCAAACCCAGATCACCAGGCTTGCATGCCAAGTACTGTACCGACCGAGCTGTCTTACCAGCCCTACTTTTTATTTTCAGACAAGCTCTCACAAAATCACCCAGCCTGGCCTTGAAATTGTGGCCTTCCTAACTCAGCCTTCTGAGCAGTTGGACTCACAGGCCTGCTCTTCCACATCCGGCAAGAAATGGGGAGACTCACTGGCCCGAAGGCGGTGTCACCAGCACCGTTTGATGGTTCCATAGTGCCCTGATTCAGTCAGGTCCCTTGTTGCCCAAGGAGATCAGAAGGCACGAGGGGCATTCAGTGTGTTTCAGAGCCCATCAGTGTGCGCTCTGCCTGAGGTAACCCAGCCTTTCAAGATACTTTCAGCCTGGTCTGAACCTGCTAGTGTTGACCTGCGAGTCAGGAACTTGGAGTAGGTAGAGTCCCAGGACCCTTTGCTGCAGGCTGGGCTCCAGCTTTGTAGAGAATAAAGTTAATGAAAGTCTTTCATATTTTCTAGCAGCACATAGCTCAAGGCAGAGAATACAGGGAAACCCTAGGGCTGGGGTGGCTTGAGCCGAAGATGGCCCTGTGTGTCTAGGGTGGCAGGATGTGTGTTGCCTAAGAATCCCCGTGAGGGGAATGAGGCTTGGAATCTGCCTTCTGGGCCACAGGCTGTGGCCACCACCTGGAGGGAAGAAAGTAGTCTTAACATTGAGGGGTGAGCGCGGGTCACCCGGACTCACCTGGACTTGGAGACCCTGGTGGCCTTGGAGTCCTTTGCTGTGGTGGGGGACAGCCAGATGACTGGGCGGGAGCTCCCTGCATGAGGAGAGGTCGCTGTGTGAGGAGAGGTTCCTGGGGAAGGGAAGGTTCCTGCAGACCAGGCTGGGGTCACTGTGTGAGGAGAGCTCCCAGCATATGGTGAGGTTCCTGGGAGGACCTGGGAGGTTCCTGCAGACCCAGCCGGCGGGGCTGCCCCGGTGAACACAGGGGCCTTAACCCCTGTCTTCCCCTGCTTGGCTGTGGCGACTGTCGGGTGGAGACCAGGAAAAGCTATAAGTCCAAAAACAAAGCCTCAGCACCTACCCTGACCCTGCAGCACCCCCCAAGACTGACTCTGAACATGAACCTTCCCAATCTCTCAGGACATCCTCAACTAAAACTCCCCAGAAGACAAGCAGAGGCCTACGTGAGGCTGCTGGAGCAAGAAGACCCCTGGGCCAGGCACATGCATGGCCCTATCCTACACCAGGCCCTGTCCTACACCACTCCGTAGTCACCTTCCTCACCCTCCCCTTAGTTCAGGCCAGGCTCACCTCTTCTCTGACCGAAAAGCAAGTTCTCCATGTGCCCAGCACTGGCCTCCTGAGGGCTACGCTCCAGAAAAGCCTAACCTTCAGCTGCCTCCGAGGGCAGGGAAAAGTGGCAAAGGCAGACCTAATGTCAGGGTCAATGTCTGGCTAGCCCCCAGATCCTGAGGAAGGGCTCTGGGGTCAGCTGGAGCCACTCCCCACAGGACCCTGAGCCAGTACCCCAGTCCCTCTGAGCCATCCTGGCCTCTGAGGTTGTTGGGAACACCTGGGTGGCCCTCACTGTGTGTCTCCTGAGATGGAGAAGGGACAGGAAAGCCATTCACTCACTCAGTTCTGGGACCTGAGTCTGCCAGGCTTTTGCCTTGGGCTGCAGGTTCCTTGTAGCTGTAAGAAGCTGGAAGGGAGGGTTGGGGGAAGAAATACAGCAGGTTCCAGTGGGGATGGGACTGTCCCTTTTTCCTAGAGGAGAGGGAGAGGCTGCTCTCAGGGGAGGTAGACATTGCCACAGTGGGCCCCTCATCCTCAGTACAAGTGCTGTTTATGGTCTCCTCCCAGCCAATCAGAGGCCATTAACTGGCAGATCCCAGTGGATCCCAGGCCTTCCCTACCTGCTGCTCATATTGGTCTCTCATTGGGTCAGGTCCTTTGTGTCCCTGGCCCCAGCCTGCTTCCTTCATGCCACCCTTTGTATGGACACCTGCATTTCTGAAATACACCTGGATCCTATTGCCTCTTGCTCGGGCAATAGTCAGTGGATTACATAGTGTTACTTAGTGTGTCTCTCAAGGCCTTTAAAACTCAGACTTCAAATCGTCCTATCAAAGCTTCCTCTTTCCCCATGTGGAACCAGCTGAACCATGCAGAGATGCCCTGTGTTCGGGGGTCACCCTTTCTGCTGCTATGTCTTTGAGATATTGTTCCTCTGTGAAACCCTTCTCTTACATCTCTGCCTAAAGCCGCCCCACCGCCTCCTACCCCTCCCCCACCCCACTCCCATCCCTTTCCCTTTCTCCCACCATCAGCTCAAAAGTTAAGATCCAAAATTGTGGAGGAGTTGCCCTCTTCCTTTGTGTACCCCAATATCTTGCGTTTGCCTCCAGGAGGGCTAGTGCTCACTTTGACTACAACTATGGCTTTGCAGGACCTCCCACAGGACTGGGATTCTTCAAGGGCCAGCATCCCTGGTCTTTTCTAACCACATCCAACCTGGATATTCCAGGATCGCTCTTCATTCTGGATCCTAACTCTCTGATGTTTACTTGTGTGTGTGTGTGTTTTTTTTTTCCTTCTTCTAAGTAGCTGACTAAATCTTCTGTAAATAAAGAGCAGCCTCTACTTTGTGTGTTTCTAAGTCTCTATCCATTCCCTAGGGCCTCCAGGAGATGAGGAATAGAGGATGCCATAGTGGGTGTGCTCAGCCTACTTTGGCCCTGGAGGCTGTTAGTTCACTCTGACCTGTTAACTTTTCAGGAATTCTGGAAGCTGATTGTTAAATGACTGGCAGATAGAAACTGGCTTTGGAGGAAGGAGTGTTGCTACCATGGAAACCTGTAAACATTATAGACCAGTGTCCCCAGTGGCTGTGGGGCACCCACATAAAAGCCCTCATCATTGGCAGAGCTGTCATCAGAAGCCAACCAGCTCTGACATGAAAGGGATGAAAATACATGGATCACATACCTGGGAGAGGTGATTAGAGCTCAGGGCAGGAAGGAGACACAGGAGTCTCAAAACTAGAGAACACTAGGCTGGGTGTGGTGGCATAGAACTTTAGTTCTAGCACCCAGGAGACAGAGACAGGTGGATCTCTATGAGTTCTAGACCAGACAGAGCTACACAGTGAAACACCATCTAAAAAGCCAAATAACTAAGTGAAGTAGAGACAGAGCTAATCGCAATTAGGCATAAAATAAAATAAAATGGTGCTGTGCCCTGGTAAGAACTGGAAGAGACTAGAAAGCCTTCCCCATATCAGAGAACCCACTCTATTGTTCTACTGCTGCAGCATTAGGGATGCAACCCAAGGCCTTAGAGCAGGCAATGCTCTACCTCTGAGCCACACCCTCCAGCCTCATCAGTGATGCTTTGGTGCTGCTGCTGTTATTGTTTGGTTAGTTTACTTTCATTTCCCTGAATTGTCATTGAGACCCAGGGGAGACAGAGAATGGGCTTTAAGGACAGACCTGGTCTTAGGATTGGTCCTGGCTCCTGGGCCTGTCTTGGTGGTAGTGATATGGGTTCGAATCCTGCTGGCTTTGCTTCCTGCCACAATCTTAGGCCAGTCACTGAGTGTCTTGGAGCATCTCTGTGGCCCATATGTGAAATGGTTGTATGGAGATCCTCCCAGCTCTCACTGGCTGAGACAGGGCTGCCTGTCCTCTGGCCCCTCCAGCTTCCCTCCCCTGGGTTCTCCCCACAGAAGGTGACCAGAGAGACCATGAGCATGGTGAGGCCAGCGAATGGCTTTGGGGACACTGCAGGCTGGGGTGGTGATGCAGCAACGGTTGGCCTGAGCTCAGAAGGCTATGGGAGCATTTGTGACACAGGGAATATGCAGGTCCTTCCTTGTCCCCTGATAGTCATCTTATTCCCATCCTGTAGTAGTATCCCAGTAGATCTAGGCCAAGAGTGACAAGTGTGCTTGAATTTTGCTCTATGAAATCCTAACAGGGAGACTTGCCAGAGCAAAGGGACACCGAGGCTTCTCTGAGTTGTCTCCAGTGCTCAGCAAATGTCCCTACGGACTCCCCAAGACCTGGAGAGGCCTGATGAGGTTGGTACTGACTGCCCCCTTCTGTAAAGGGGAAACTGAATTCATGGCTCAGATTTTCTTGCCCATCCCTGTCTCCTTTATATACCCTGTCACCTAGGCAGTGGGGCAGGGGACAGTCATTCATTACCTGGAAAGACGATGAGAGAGACTTCAAAAGACTCATCAAAACCCAGTCTGTCAATCCCGCACCAGTACTTCCCAGAATCCTTCAGGGTAAGGTCCCTCATGGTCACGGTCATTGAGAGCTGTCGGGGGCTGTCTCGAATGGACATCCTGCCCTGTGCCACCTCCTGGTTCTGGCTCGAGTAGACAATGTCAGAGCACCGGGACAGCACGAGTCCACCCTGTCGGCACCAGTACTTCCTGTTTCCCCTCACCTTCTTCTCATAGGTGCACTGCAGAGACACACTGTCACCTTCAAATCCACTGATCTCCTTTGGGCCCTTCAGGGCTTCATACCCTGAAAACACAGCATGAAGGGAGATGGGGTTTCCACGGACCCTAGTTCCAGGCCAAGACCAGAGTTTCCAGTTCACGGGGGCGGGGGTTTGCAGACCTACTGCGGCAGCCCCGAAAAGCCCCGAGGCTCTCTCTCCTTCTGGGGAACCTTAAGACAAATATGCCGCTCTTTCCATAAGCCCCATTAATTGAAAGGAATAGAGTAAGTGCCCTAGACTCAGACAGCTCAGAGTGTGAGCCCCAGCTTTGGTATTCAGCACCTTTGTGACATTGGGCAAGTTGCTTAATCCATCTAAGTTTTCTTGTTTCTAGAGAATAATAAGCTTCTTCATTGCCTTTGAGAGACATGAGCCAGGCTGGCCAGATGGCTCAAGGGCTAAAGGCACTTGTTGCTAAGCCTGTCGATGTGAGTTTAAGAGTCAAGGAGAGAACAGACCACCAGAGGTTGTACTGACCTCTTCATGTGTGCTATAGCATTTGTGTACTAACGCATGCTCATAAGTACATAGACACACGTGAGGGATACATGTAATAACTTCCAAACACAGTGTGAATTGATTTTATATATTATTAAGGGAAAACCAAAGATGCCCAACTGGGCAACCAACATCAGTTGCAAGATGCATCCCGATATTTAGGTCTTAATGGGTAAAAGGAAGTCCAGCATGGTGGGCACTCGTGATCACAGCTACTTGGGAGAGTGCTTGCGCGTGTGCGCATGCGCGCACGCACACACACACACACACACACACACACACACACACACACGTTCAGCAGTAAGAGCACTTGCAGTGAAGACCTGATGACCCGAGTTTGAGTTCCCTAACTCCACAGTGGAAGGAGAGAACACAAAAGTTCTACCTTTACCTCACAAGTGCTGAGCGATACACATGCTTCCTCTCCCTCCTTCTCTTACACACATACATGCATACGACAGCAATAACGTGTTTTAAAAATAAATAAAGCAAGGAAAAAAAAATGAAAGCAAAGAAAGAGAAGCAAGTTTAGTAGCAATCCGACAGAGTTAGCTGAGCTAACAGGGTAAGTGGGTGCGTCCTTGTGAGCAGAGGGGCTTCACTCTTTTTCTACCCGCACAGCCACCCAGAGACCACACACACATGTGTGAGGAACACCCTTGGGTCTGAGCTCCCCGGCTGAGGATGGCTCAGCTGGGTTGAAACGTGGAAGCATCTCCCTCCACGCTAGCTCCTCAAGTTGTGCAAACCAAAAGAGCAAGCTCAGGCCGGCAGCTGTAGGCCCCTCCATCCCGCCACTTCCAACCCCCTCACCTGGGAGCATCAGGCAACTCCACAGCAAGACCAGAGACCGCATGGTGGGTGATGGACACCGTGGGAGCAGATGCCTGCAATAGCCTACTCCTTTAGCCTTTCGGGGCTTTAGCTTCCTGCAGAACAGCCAGCCTGGGACCAGGAAGGCAGGGGAGGGGCTTCGTGAGTCGCCTTGTCCAGTCCAGTCTCAGAGGCGCCTCTGCTTTTCCTCCTGCTACCCTTGTGTCAGTTATTGTAGCCTGTAGACCCACACGAACTCTTCTCCAAAACTCTAGCTCCTGCTTAACCCAAATCTGGGATCTGAGCACCACAGCTCTGCCGGAGCCATTCAGGAGTCTGCCGCCTCCGATGGGAAAAACTAGCATCGCGGCCTTTAGGAACCTCTGAAAGATTGTTTTCCCTTCTATTAAGAATTACCAGAGGTGCGTAGAACCTGCCACTGTTAGCGATAAAATCACAAACCCTGGAGCAATAGTGTTTGCTAATATCTCAAAATATTGCGCATATGGCTCACTGTTTAGAGAGTTGTTAGTTTTTAGAACTGCCCCTAGGTCTGAGTATTCAAGTACTAAATATGGAGGCATATTTATTGACTAGTATATCACTGATGATATGTTTAAAACCACTTCCCTATTAAGTATTTTAGTATAAGTTTATTACTTCCATTTCATTTAATTAGTATTATTATTTTCATGACAAGGTTTCTCTGTGTAGCCCTGGTTGTCCTGGGACTCGCTTTGTAGATCAGGCTAGCTTCTAACTCACAGAGATCCACCTGCCTCTGCCTCCCAAGTGCTGGGATTAAAGGCGTGCACCGCTCCCTCCCACCCCGGCTCTTTTCATTTTACTTTGTATGTGTATGGATGTTTTGCCTGCATTTATGTCTATGCACCGTGTGTGCACTGGGTCTCCAGGAGCTGAAGTTACAGGTGGCTGTGAGCCGCCATATGAATGCTGAGGATTAAGCCAGGGTATTGTCACCGCCGAGCCATCCTTCCAGCCTTCTATTTGTAGTTTACTGAAAATTTTAAATTATATTTCCAGAGGACAACTTTGTAGAGCCCACTTCTTCTAGGAATCCAACTGAGGTCACCAGGCTTGTGTGGAAAGTGCTTTTTACCCCCTGAGCCATCTGGTGAGCCTTATTTTAAACATTGCACCTGTTTCACATGTATATGAACCATTATTTTGAGAGGGAGATTCATAAACTTCTCTGCGTGGCTAAAGAGTTCAGTGGCACTGGTACAACTTTTTTTTTTTTTTTTAATGTACTTATGCATCCCAAATTCAATTTCCCCTCCCCCACCCCTCCCACTTCCCCCTCCCCCTCCCCCAGACCCCTGCTCCTCCACTTCCCTTCAGAAAAGAGCAGGCCTCCCAGGGATATCAAGCAAAGATAGCAAAACAAGTTATAATAAGACTTGGTACAACTACAACATACACACAGAGGACCTAGCACAGACCCATGCAGCCTCCTCTCCATGACTGCTGCTTCAGTCTCTGTGAGCTGCTATGAACTCTGCTAGTTGATTCTGAGGGCCATGCTCTCCAACCCTTCTGGCTCCTGTAATTTTTCCTTTCCATGGGGTCCTCAGAGCTCCAAGGTAAAGGACCCGATGGAAATCTCCAACTTGGACATTCTTTGCACCTAATGTTTGGCTGTGGATCTCTCACGTTTTTTGTTTTTTCGAGACAGGGTTTCTCTGTGGCTTTGGAGGCTGTCCTGGAACTAGCTCTTGTAGAACACGCTTGTCTGGAACTCACAGAGATCCGCCTGCAGCTGCCTCCCGAGTGCTGGGATTAAAGGCGTGTGACACCACTGCCCAGCTTTCTACAACTTTTAAGGCACAGAGCTTCGCACAGCAGTACCCCACCCCCCACAGCACCCCTATCCAGGCCACAGTACCGCCCTTGGCCATCGGGCAGCGGTGCATACTGAGCTGAGCTGGAGCCTTGGGTCAGAAGCATGGAAAGGTGTGTCCCCTGAACCGTGGCTTTTGTCTTGCTGGACGCTTGCAAAAATGAATTCCTGGCTTGTTTCCTCTTCTCAGACTTGCATAATCCTTCAAGAGACCAGAACAAACACTCACACTAGAGGGAGCCCTGAGCTGTTTTCCAAAATAGCTGGTTTTTTTTTTTTGCTTGCAAAGTTTGTATAGCGGTTAAGCAAGTGTTTATATAATGTAGATGTGTAAGAAGAAGGGAAGGCGAGGAGGATAGTAGTTAGAGCATTAGCTGAATGGTTGTCGAAGGAGAGTTTGTTCTTGTGGCTCTGGTAATCGAAGACGTGAAGAGTTCTGTTTTTATTTACTAATTTTTTTGTGTATGTGTGAGAGCACATGCATGTCATGGCATGCTATATAGAAGGCAGAGGAGAGCTTGCAGGATTCAGTTCTCTCCTTCCACCATGGGGGCTCCCAGAATATATCACAGGTCATCTTGTTTGACTGCAAGAGCCTTTACACACTGAGCCATCATCTTCCCAGCACAGGTCTTGATCCCACATGATTGCTGGGCACTCCTGCTTGGACCGGGCTGGACCATTTCATCTTGAAACCCTACTGATCTCAGCCCGAAATGTGAGTTCCCTTGTGTACAGATTATCCCAGCAGGTAGCTATTGCAGCTGAAAAACAAACAGGCAACACATACATCCACTAATGTCTACTCTAGCTTTTCTATTTTCAGACAGGGTTTCTGAAACAGGCTTTGGAGCCTGTTCTGGAACTTACTCTGTAGACCAGGCTGGTCATGAACTCACAGAGATCTGCCTGCCATTACCTCCTGAGTGCTAGAATAAAGGCCAGAGCCACCACCTCTGGACTACTCTAGCTTTTTCTGCATGTTTTTAGTTTTAAATGTTTCCTGTACCTAACTTGTCATGGTAAGGGAGGCAAGCACTTGACACTTCATTATATTTTCTAGGGCCGTAGGGCCTGGTCCCTGACATTTTGAAATATGTGCTGTTTGGTAATAAATCGTTTTCTTTTTATTTCTTCTCCTTAGTACAGCTGGGGTATTATACTATAAGTTTTAAAAATTAAGCATATGAGCAGGCATATGATTTATGATTGTCCTTTCAGGGGAGTTTAGGACATGTTTCTGGGTCTGAGGCTCGCTCTCTATGCTGTCTTCCTGCATATTTGAATGTCCTTGACCTCTGCTCTGACAGCTCCACATCTAGCCCAGGAGCTGACCTGGAGACTGTTAAAAAAACAGACCTTCTTGGGGCTAGAGCTATGGCTCATGGATTAAGAACTTGATTCCCAATACCCAATTCGTGGCTCACAACCATCTGTAATCCTGATGCCAGAAGAAGATCTGATGCCCCTTCTGGCCTCTGTGAATACCAGGCATACACATAGTACACATACATACATAATGGCAAAACACTCATATACATAAAATAAAAAAATAATTTAAAGAACTTTTGGGAACAGAACATCTTCTGAGCCAGGGATCACTGTGGACAAGGGTAGGTGGGGACTGGTGTGGGCCCTGCCCTTCGGACTTCAGACTGACTAGATGAGAGCAATAGAGAGGCTCATGTTCTTATTTTTATTTTTAAAGATTCGTTTAATTTACAACTGTGTGTGTGTGTGTGTGTGTGTGTGTGTGTGTGTGTGTGTGTGTGTGGTTTTTGGAGGCCAGAGGGCACCAAACTCCCTGGAACTGGAGCTGTATACAGGCTGTTGTGGCTCACATACCCGATGTGGGTGCTTGGTCCCTCTACAAGTACAGTAAATGCTCTTAGTCACTGAGCTGTCTCTCTAGCACACAGAGCCCCCCCCCCCACCCCATTGGTTTATTTAGCTTGTGTGTGCATGCGCAGAGGACATGCCTGTGCCATAGCTAGCAAATGTGACAGCCAAAAGACAACTTTCAGGAGTTGCTTGAGAACTGAACACACGTTGCCTGACTTAGCAGCATGCACCCTTGCCTGCTAAGCCATCTTACTGGTCCATTTTATATTCTGTATTTTAAGAACATGTTTATGCTCTATACTATAGGAAAGAATCTAAATGTTGTTAGATTATACTTATTCAGAAAGCCAGTGATCTGAGAATATAGTGGGTTAGCCTTTTTTTTTTTTTAATTGCCTTAGAACTCACCTCCTGTTGCTTTTCTACTGGGTAAGTGGCTACACCAGAATCTACAGATATTTTAACTACCCTCTGTGGCCCCATAGCCTGCAGTCAGCATCAAATGTAGTGGGTTTTTGTTTGTTTGTTTGTTTTTTGTTTCTTTTTCCGAGACAGGGTTTCTCTGTGTAACAGCCCTAGCTGTCCTGGAACTAGCTCTGTAGACCAAGCTGGCCTTGAACTCACAGATATCCACCTGTCTCTGCCTCCCGAGTGCTGGGATTAAAGGTGTGCACTACCACTGCTTGGGCCAAATGTGGTTTTTAACTAAGTCTCTATTGCACTATTTACCAATAAAGACACAGGAGTCAGATGTTGCAGTAAAAACCTGTTGGCCCAGGCAGGCCAAGAAACAACCATATGACCTTCCTTTTTGGCTGGAGACCCAGCAAAAGAGCATCTCTCTTTTGCTGTCCCAAACCAAAAGAGACCATGAAACTCCAAGTCCCTCCCTTTTTCTTCCTGTTCCTCTCTCTATCCATCTTACTGGCTCCCCCATATTCCCATACTCTCTGGGTAATTCCTGTCAGCTAGTCGCTGGCTCCACCCCCTGATCCAAAGTCGATCTTCCTAACACAGTGTTAGGTTTCATAGTGTCATCAAACATCACACACCACTTCCCTCTTCTTGTCTAAATAAAAAGGAAAGGTGTTAACTCTAACAGAGTAAAACTATACACAACAAGAACAATTATCGGGTAAGAATTACATTCACAATGTCCAGTCCATCTGTATTTGGCAACTTTGCAGAAAGTACTCCATTGTCTATCCTATCTTGGTGAGTTCAAAATTTTGTGCCTAAACCACTTTCTATCATAACTTGTATTACCAATCTAAAATTATCCTTTTAGACATTAAAACATTTTCTTGATAAACAACTTAAACTTTTATGTCTCTCAACATTTGTAAACTTTACATCTCTTTTGTCAGTGTCTTTCGGTAACAAGGAAAA